TCATTTACCCTAGAAATAATGTTGTCCCGGCTATTTTGCAATTCCATAATGGCTTGGTCATACTTTTCAGCGTCTTGAGAATCTAGATTACCACTAATACTCTCAATCATTCTGCCCAATCCTTGTTTTGATCTCCTGATGGGTGTAAGTGTATCAAATTTTGCTAATGATAACTGGAGCTGAGAATATCGACTGATTGATCGCTCTCAACTCTTCAAAATGTGGGTGTGATGTCCCGGTATTGACTGCTTCGAGTAATTTTGAATATTGATTTTGTATAAGGATAAGTTCATCAGCGATAGGAGTAAGGTCAAAGTAATGGATGAAGGTGTGGAAACTACTTTTGACTCGTGCGGTTCCTAATTTGAAGGGTAGGATACCTGGATTTTTATTTAGTGACTGTATTTGAACTTCCTGGCTCATCGTCAACGATAGGACGAACCTGAAACAATGGTCTTTTGAAACTTGATTTGTGTAAAGTATTTTCAGGTAATTTCAATTTTGTCCTTAGGTCTTTCAAAACTGTTACGGTTTTGAATTTTGGGGATAATTTGTTACGTGCCTCAGTGCGTTTGTATGCCGGTGTTTTTTCTATGTAAGTGAGAGGGGGTTCGCGGTTTGCGTTCCGTTTTTCAATTAGTTTTTGTTTCGATTTGTTGAGTTTTTCATTGAGGTGCCTATAGATCTCTGGAGCCTGTTATAAAAAATATAAAATTACAAGAGTATTTATAATTCAATTAATTTGATTCTTGATTGTTATTTATGTAGTATTCACCAGTTCCTTTCCAAGTTTGGTCGATACACCTAGTGATTCGATTGGGAACTTGGCATCGCGTGCTCGGGCCATAACGTCAGCCGGCTAAGATACCGATCGATTTTACAAATGGCCCCACTACTCTAATACATTTCCGATCATCACGAGAAAATATATGAGAAGCAGCATGCAAAGAAAGTATCCAAATGGGTAATATCGATAATAAACCAGCTAGTTTGAACTAATGAAATGGATATTGGGAGTATTATATATCCGATCACTTGATTTCATTTTCGATTTCCTGAGAGATTCCAACACGAAAACGTCAATGTACTCAACGAGGTTGACAGATCGATTTGTTTCTGATGAAATTCAAATAAAACTAGAATCGATGCAAATTTCGAAACGTGTTCTGATAATTTTGATCATGATAATTGTCTACTGTTTGAAGAATGTATAGAGCCCTTATTTATATGATAGCGTATACTTAGTACCCATGACCTATATCGAAGAGAGAGCCAATTTCTTTGATATTCAGAGACGTTCGACATTACTCACATAATTATAAATTTCAACATCAAATTGGAAATGAGTGAATTTACTTGTATATTTAACTTGCAAGATATTACAGTTGAAACATGGAATATTTGAATATTACTGGAGTAATATTCAAATATTCAAAACTCCAGTAATATTCATTACTACACCAAAGGTTCCAAACAGTACATCATAAGTATGGAATATTTGTTTTTACTGAACATGGGGTATTTCACTGATAGTGATATTCAAAAATAAAAGTTATTCTTAACCAGGATAAAATTATTCTGAGCAGTAGCCAAATCGTTTTTTTTTTAATTTTTTTTACCAGTTTGGGAACTTATATCGGATGCACAAATTGATGACATATGCGGATTCTGCCATTGAACCAACTGTATGTTTAATGTAATCTTGATGTTCATTAATAATGCACTTATATTGTTATTTCATTTTGCCTCAAGAACAAGGCATGTTATAAAATCAATCAAAGAGGAAAAACTGCAAAAAAATGTATTTAATTTTTCATTCTGGTAATGTTGTTGGCCTCCGAAATATAAAAATACAATATAAATTATCAAATTCAACAAGTCACTGATAAGCGTCGTATTTTCTATCAAAAATATATTGAGTTTACGCAGTAACTTATTAGAATGATATGTAATTCTTACAATTTTCTGCAAAATCTATGCAGCATCGGAATAGTAGAGGAACCAGAAAACATTGAATTATACTTTGTTTCACACCGACTCTTTCCATACCAACTCTCTCAGGGGTTATTTTCAACCTTCTATTTATTAAAGCAGTAATTCCATTCAGGAAATGCAAACTTCCCGGAACTCCAAAAACAATTTCAGGAATTTTTTGCAGCAGTCTCAAGCAGTGTTGTAACACACTTGAGAAGATTTACGTTTCACAGGTCGTATATATGGGTAGCAAAGTTGCCTCTGAAACTAATGAGAGCCTCCTCACAAGCCCTACAGGCCCGTACCTGTAATACCCACAACATTTCTCGTAATTCTTTTTTCGTTTATTACACCGGAATTGTAGGCGGGTAGAAAATGAACGAAAACAATTACTTTATATACAGTTTGGAGAGCTTGGAGTTTCGGAATATTGTGTTACATCTGAAAGTTATACTTGAATTTAATATAGCACAAATAGAAAAACTTCAGAGTAACTTGTTAATAATCAATTGAAATCAAACTGTATTGAAGAATCATTGAAAAAGGGGCTAGGAAATTAGTTGACGACTTCACAATAATTCGAAATGATTAGGTCATTATCTGCGAGCGCTTTCGACAGTTGGTAGTACTGTCATCTTCTGACACTCCTCAAACTGAACTGGTCATCCTGTTGTCTGTCTCTTTAAACGGTCAGAGCGTCTTAACTCAGGTATTTCAGGTACTTTAGGTAAATTTGCCTGTATTTGTTCTGCATCAGGTACTCTTCTTCGTGTTAGATCTTCTCTAGGAATGTATATGGTTTTGTTTAATATATTGAATGTGAGATCTTGTTGTGTTTTGATTTGTACTTGTTACTCGATAAGTGATTTATCACTTATCGAGGAGGTATATTTATCAATATATTAAACTTTTGTTTAAATGTGTGTGATTTATCACACATATATAGCAGAAGAATTAGTCACTGGATTAACTATCAATCGGTTCAATTCGTGAGGTTGCAGTCACAAACTTCTGCTATCTATATTTATTATTTTTTACATCTGTATAAAATGATAAGTCAAAACAACTCACAGTGTATGTGAGGTTATATGGCAGGTTGAATGAAATATGCTGAAACTCAGGACGTTACAGACAAACAATAAATAGTAGATTTAATGATATATCATTGTATTATCAAATTAAAAACCACCTACGGGGCTCAAAATCGAATTGACATTCGACATCAACAAAATTGTTTCATCTGTGACATAAAACCTTAACCCTGTTGCCAAATGATTTTGGGCAATGTATGGCTATAGACATCGCATGTTTAGATTCCATTACACTTTAAAGCCAAGTAATTTTTTAAACAATATCTGGAACAATTTTTGAGAAAACTCATCCTAATGGATTTTATATTGAACAATAATAATAAAAAAAGGATGATGATGTATATCTGGAAGATTCAATCTGTGAGAAGAATACCATTAGATGAGATTTGGTGATTTCTCATTTTGTGATTATCCATACAAATTAAATAAGAGTAAATTTCACTTAGGTGATTTAAGTCGGTTTTTTCAATCATAGAGTTTTGTGAATGTGCTATATGTACTATTTCTAGGAAAAGCCTCTTGGTAGTGTTTTTTTCGATTGATAAAATTTTAGTTGAATTATAATCCATGCAGTGCCCTTGTTTAGAGACATGTTCACACAAAGCACATCTTTCCGGGTGTAACCCACTGTCACTTTTGTGTGTTGTGATCCGAGATTTTAATAATCTAGATGTCTGTCCTATATATTCTTTGTCACAGTTCATACATGGTATATAGTAAACTACATCTGAACAGTTGTTATAGAGAGTTTTATCTATTATTGATGGGTTTTCAAAAATATTAAACATAACATTACTTATTTGAGTTGCTACCTAATATCACTTGTATGAAATTTAACGAGCCGAGCATGACCGATCACAACGCGGGAACTTCCGAATGCAGTTTCGGTTTCGGTCGTAGTTTCGGCAGGTTTGCCGCTGAAAACCAAACTCGACCGAAACTCGGCAAAAGCCGAAACTCGACCGAAACCGAACTTTCGGTCGGACACTAAAGATTCGTTAGAAAAGTTAACAACTACAGGTATCTAGATGCCTTCGAGAGTGTAGAAATTAGTAAACATAATAATATGATTAATAATGATAGTGGACCAATACCTAAAAGTATACTATCTAGCTTGTTGAAATAATATTTCATTATTAGAATTACCTGACTGTTAGATAAGGCAATATTGTAAAATTAATTTAAGACAATTAAGACACAGATACCTAGCAGAGGTATCTAGGGTATAAATAAGGACAGTACCGTAACTGATGTTTAATCGCCCTCATGAAGATGATCACTTGGTGAGTGAAACACGTGTTGAGGCGTTGAAAATAACGGTTTAGTGTTGGGATTACACTCCAGTAATATTCATTACTGCACCAAAAGTTCCAAACAGTGCATCACAAGTAGATTTTAACTTATTGTTCTATGAGACTGATTTCAAAGTTGCCTCAACTGAATATATTGGCATCACTGCCAAATTATAATCCATATACTTTTCAAAATTTCCGTTATTTCGTCACTGCGTCGCAATAATGTCAACAATAATAACTTGATTATTTTTCAAAAAAGGTAAACCTGTTACCAAGATTGTATTTGTAAAATTTACCTAAATAATTTTTTGTACATATATATGAAGTTGCAAACAACACCAGGAAAATGTGAGTAGTTTTATCAAAACTCAAGCACTATATGAATAGCCATTTTGACTTCTGTAGTTTCCCTGATGATGACAATAAAAAATGTCAAAATATTAAAATAAATGTCCAATATTTTTCAATATATTCTTTTGCAAGCTGCGTTGTGTAAAGGTTCATCGACTGTGAGTTATAGAAGTCATTAAGGGGATGGTAGAATAAGTGAACTATTTTTTCTGTTCTAGCTTTCGAGTTTTTATTGGCTTTTTATCAGGAACTCTACAATTAATTATGCAGAAAAAAAGCAATCCAACAATGTGCATGTCCCAAATTCACATGTTTTCCTCCGCCTATTTAACAACATTGTGGGTTGGTGAACCAAATCCTACAACGCTATTGTAACAGAAGATTTATGTGGGAGTTGAATATACTTATTTTGTTCATAAACGGAGCTCACTTAATCGGTGTTCCTAATTGAAATTTGGCGTGAGTTTTCTCGTTGTACTCTAAAGGAAACGAACGGGTTAGAGTTCGATCTGGTTTTACCCTTCCTTGATGTCTTGTCACCATTCTCGTTTAACGATTTTATCCACCTTGAAGTATGCCGTGTCGGAGGAACGTGGATGTTCCTGTTAGTGCAATTTATTATTCCTCAAAAAGGTTAGTAACCGATTACTGGAACTTTTGAACTTACGATTCCGTCAAATGGCTTAGAAATGTGCATGTTGTTGTCACTAGAAGAATGTTGAAAAAAAAAATTAGATACAATTCCTTGGGGATAGAAATGGTGGAACGTTTTTTAATTGTTATTGTTGGTGATCTATCATAATTGTCAGTGGCATTTGCCACGATAATTTAAATACAAAATTTGTTCCGGCCTCAGGCCAACCCTTCGTTTATGCACCCGAATGTCGCTGCACCCCCCATCAGTTCAAAAGAAACGAGAGGCAAAGAGACAGTAACTAGAAGCGGTTCAAGATACACGTTACTCTTAGCGCAATTCGGTTCAATTATGGTAATTTAGTATACTCGAAATATCAAAGTACGTAGCCTCTAATTTTATACACTAACACATTCATACAAACAAACAAAATGTTACTATGGATTTTCTATTTCTTTGGTTGTTTCATTTTTGATCATAGTACAATGAACAATTGATTTTTGTTAATGATCCTTGAACTTTTCGTTTTTCAAATTGCCTCGTATCAGAGTCACAATTAGAAATTATACATTATTTGATTTTGATCAAATGTACCGAAAATGAGTCTGCACCACGTTTTCATATATATGTACATTTTTTAGTTAGTTTTTCAGTTATTGGCCAGTAAACTCCAGATTACTCAACGTCATAGTGATTACATAACACGCGTATATAAACGTTTCCTGTAGAATTGTGTGAAACTTTCTACGCGCATAATGCATATAAACTTCGCGACATTTAAATTTCAATGTAAAATTTATTCCATCAGCCCGTTTGGATAGACGTGGGTATGGTATCAAAAATGTTGTTTGCCAACTAACAAACACGTTAGGAGTCATGTATACGGTACTTTGTAACTTGTGTATATTGTTAGGTGAAGCAATAAAACATTTACTCACCTTTGGATGTGCTCTTCTTGGAAATGCTACTTTGGGATCGATCTGAAACAGGAAATAGAAAATGACTTTCGTTATGGAAAAAATGAAGGCAAGTATAATAATAGTGGCAAAAGAGACAAAAGCTATTACTTTAAAAATTAAAAAAGACTTTTTGTAGATATTGATTGCAATTATATTTCATTTACTAGGTTTCACTAACAGTTAAGACTATTGTGGAATATTCGAGAATAGTCTAAAACGTTCTGGAATATCTCATAGTATTGTGAAACACTCCAGAACTATCTTGAATGCTGTGGAACGTTCTGGAACATTGCAGACCATTCGCAGCCTTTTTTATATGGGCGGGGCTTTATGTTGTGAGAGTCAAACTTTCATAATTTTAAATTCATCCTTTTATTACAATTACCACACAATCTCTTATCCATTCTTTGTGCGAAGGCGGGTACCCCAGCTGGTAGTTTATAATAATGACCTTGTTTAAAATTTACCAGAACAAAAGTATGTCCACAACAATCATCAATTTCAATTTTGAAATAGGTAAGTACCTATCTATCTAAAGAAAACACAAAACTTAAATACAATCTTTACGTTGGTTTGATGGCCGCTTGAATTTATTTTCTCGCGTGATAGTCTCAACTTTCTCATTGCATATTAATTTGAATCATACGATTTAAAGAGCAATTAAATTAAAATGTGCATGAAATATTTAAGGTAACTGAGGTATTAATTTGATAAAGATTAATATCGACATTACATGCTAACAGTATTTCAATAACTAGAAGACAGACATATGCAATCATGTAGACACATAATAGATGAACAATATGTAGTGAATTATTTTATTATATCTCGAAAGGATTTGTGACCAATTCCATCACATATAGTAAGACTAGATATGTCACTAATACAGTGTTTCTCAAGTTTTTTCAACTACCTACCCAAATGATGTGCCAATTTCTAGAACATATATAACACCCTTCATGAGTACAGATGACAAAGTTATTACGATAATCCTAGAAGATTTCAAGTATTCTTCTTCACATGCAGCTTATGAAATTTGTGTTAATGAGCTCAACTTATGGTATGAAAGCATTTTTGACATGATATTTCGAAAATACGGAATTTCGATATGGAGAATCTAATATTATCTGATCTTATTTTACGGGCAAGACATCACTTTCTCATTTTGGGATACGAGTGCCATTCAACTACAAGACTGCATCTTTATAATTCAGCTTACACAGCAGATAAATCCATAAATGAATGAAGTATGCTCCGGGTCCTAAGAATTTATGACTTCACATTGTGGATGCTTGATAATACTTCAACAACATATGTTTTCCGGTTTGAGGAATCTAGTTACATTATCTTCTTGACATATATAATGAATTAGTTGTTGCCCGCGGCTTCGTCCGCGTAGAATTTGGTTTGTCACATTGAGTTTCGTGACAGACCATTTTGAACAATATTCTTTATTTGCCCAAAATTTCATTTTTCCAACTTCAGAACTGACGAAATTCAGTACGATCTTTAAACCCCTATTTTTCCCTTTGGGGGTGGAAATTCCTGATTCCCTTTCTTGATGTCAGGTTTCACACGTTGAAAGATCAGACCTCGTTTATCCTTAGCTCTCACAAATTTCGGCTTCCGAGAGTTGTCGTTCGAAGGGGGACAACAGCAGGTTAACGAAAAAACAGATTTCAACAGATTCACGCTATAAAAAGAACTTACCTGTATATTTCAAGATTTTAGGTTCAGTAGCTTCGGCTGTACGAATTATGTTACCTATAAAGCAATTCGCAAAACAAACACAACCGTAAACGACGTCTGTCCTCACGCATCTGCCCGCGTTCGAGTCGCTTTCGGGTCGCGGTCTCGACAATGGCGCTTCATTGCTAAGACCGCCCCTCTATCGTGATAACTTTTAAACGATTCGTCAAAATTACTCAATGTAACAGACAAAGTTTATCTATATTAAATACTTAAAACGACCATGATATCAGTTTAAAAAAAAATTAATTCAATTCAATTGTGTTTATGGCTTAGTATTTTGCATATAGTGGCTACCACATAAGAAGTATCTATCGCGGACTTTTATTTAGAACTATTCAAGATGAACAATTTTACGGTACATTATCTGCAAGTAACTCCAACGGTATATACAGCTGTTCTGCTGAAAATTTAGCTCAAGCGTCAAACAGGCTGCTACATGGGACGTCGTAAAATAGGGGCTGCCTAGAGCCATCTTAAAAATATAAAATACGTATTGGTTCTTTTGACAGGGACTTCTGAACTTTGATAATCGATCACAGTCATCTTCTTGAAGCTACATCTGTCAAATCAGGTGTCATTCATTCATTCAGTTTTACCAAATCACCATGGGCGGATAGAACATTCAACAACACGTGCGCCAACACGCGCGCTTCACTCATTTTACGGTCGTCATAATCGTCCTACCGAGAGTACTATTCGCAATGTGGTGGATAAATTTGAGTCCACTGATTCAGGAAATGATCGACTAACGTCCGTAGGTTGACGACGAAACATCGTCGCCGTCTATAAGAGTGTGCAGGAGAATTCGAGGCAGTCGATTTCGCATATCTCACAAGAAATCGGCCATTCGCAGAGCACAACTTGGCAAATTTTGCGTCATTACTTGTGCGTGCATTTGTATAAAATTCAACCAACGGCCATAGATTACGACGTGTGTTCGCTGAATGGGCCTAGGAGCAGTTGGTAAGTGACCCTAATGTTCATCGGAAATTCATCTTCAGCGATGAGACCCATTTCTGATTGAGTACGTGAACAAACAAAAAAGGTTGAATTTGAGACGATACCAATCCAGATGAGATTCAAAAGCGTCTAATGCATCCCGAAAAAGTCACTGTTTGGTGTGGATTTTGGGTTGAAGACGTTATCGGTCCATTTTTCTTTGAGAACAACGTTGGTCAGACCATTACTGTGAACGGTGAGCACTATAGGTCGACGATTACCAACTTTTTTTGGCCTGAATTGGATGATCTGGACACCAACGACATGTGGTTTCAACAGGATGGCGCTACGTGACACACAGCTCATGCCACATTGAATATTCTGCACGAGCGATTTGAGGGCATTGTTATCTTACGTAGGGGTGATGTGAACTGACCACCGAGATCATGTGATTTGACCTTGTTATACTGTTTTTTTTTGGTTTTTCTTAAGTCGCAGGTGTATGCGAATAAGCTAAAAACTATAGCGGTCCTCAAAGCCAACATAGCTGATGCCATCTGTCAATTAAATTCAGCCAGACTCATGCGCCAGAGTTGTTTCGCATGTAAGTTCAAAGTGAATTTTGTAGTGATAACCTTGTTAATGAAACACTACTTCACCATTTAACTATCTACTTCGAAGGTTAATATTTGGAATATTTTCACAAAGTGTGAATATTGAACAGAACAGACAGATGTTTATCTATTGCCATTTACGACAAAAATAAGACTTACAAGTATATTTAAACCGATCAATGCTAACTAGAGAAGGATGCGGCGTGAGAGGTTCAAGTGCCACCTGCCTGAAGAGAGTGGTAAGAGACACAAGAAAATATGAATAAAATGAACCCTCACCGTACATACCCTTTGAAAGAACCTACTTTCGACTTGAATACAAAATGAACTAAGTGTAGCAATAAAAATAACATCAGTTACACATGGTGAAAATGGATACTTTCAGAAAATAGTCAGTAGGAACAGTTTCTATTAGCATCATACGGATTTTAGAAGAAGCTCTTCTAAATACGCTTTTGGGCGTTCGCACGCCCAAATCACTACGCGCACCACACTGTCTGCATCGGAATGAACTTTGTTAATACGGCCCAATGACCATTTGAGTGGGGGTACATTTTCTTCCTTGACGATCACCATTGTCCCTGGTTGGAATAGCGTGCTAGATGGAGAAAAATGTCATTTTCCTTTCTGTTGAAGCTCAGCTGAGTATTCTTTGGATCATTTAGCCCCAAAATGTTGTACCATTTGCGTTAATTGATGAACATTTTTTTTTGCTGGTTTTGTGCTGAGACAAATTTTCTTGAGGTAAGGCGGCCACTGACGAACTAAACAGAAAGTGACCCGGTGTGAGTACATCAAAATTATCGGGGTCTTCTGAGAGAGAAGTGAGGGGTCGGGAATTCAAACATGATTCTACCTGCGTTATGACTGTATCATAGGTTGAAATATGGTTCCCAATTACCCTTTGAAGGTGATATTTGGTAGATTTAACTACTGACTCCCATAAACCTCCAAAGTGTGAGGAGAGTGAGCTGGTATAAATGCCACTTTATAGACGTTTGTAAAAAATATTATGAAAATTTAGACTGATTCAAAAGGTTTTGAAGAAAGTTGTACAGTTCCTTCAATTCATTACTAGCACCCGTGAAATTTGTACGATTATCTAAGGGAATATTTTTACACACATCGCAACGAGCGGTAAATCTTTTGAAGCAATTCATAAAAGTTTCGGTGGTTAAATCACTTACCAGTTCCAAATATATACCTTCGTGGCAAAGCACACGAACACGCATAAAGAACCCTTTGAATCCCTTTGCCCCTTAACTTTCTGATCTTGATGTAGAAAGGAACCGCATAGTCAACTCCGCAATTGGTGAAAGGTCGATTCGGATTTATACGCTCCCTAGGTGAATCTCCCATTATGTGTAACACATCCATGCAAAATATTTCTGATACTGGCCAATAATTCAATCTGATTATAGCTGAGAGGTCCTGTGGTCCTGCATGCAGATTTTTATAATGCTCGTGCTAGACGAGAAGCTTAATTAAAACATGATTGCGGAGCAATACAATAGGATGTTTTTGGTCTGCCTGCCTGCCCTTCTTAATCTACCACCCACCCTGATGAATCCCTTATTATCTAAAAATGGATTGAAGCCTATAATTTTGCTGAAATTAGAAATTGCTCAAGACTAACGCAATGCATGCTTTTCACTACTAAAATGTTGATTTTGAGTTGATATTATTGTTTTTAAAGATCCTTGTATTTCCTCAGCT